CTTTCCCTATAGTATCTTTTTCTTCTCATTTACCCTGTTTCATTTTTAGCTCTAGTTACTGTAGTGCTTGGTCCTGTTGTTTGTGCACATCTCTGACAGCAGCAGAAACTCCATGAGTTTTCAGGCTTAACAACAGACTTAGAGCAGCATTTTACAGTTCATGTCCTCACCTCTAAAACAGAAGTTCATTTATTACTGGCATCCAGTTCTGAGGAGGCTTCTACAACTGTAATAAAAGAATAACGTTGGGTAATTCCCTTGCTGTTTCACTAGCAGCCACATACAAGGCCTACCAAATATTATAAATAAAAGGATAAATTTGGGATTGGCAAGCTTGCCAAATAAAACATTACCTCAACAAGGCCATGCATTTTAAACTGAAATGTAACAGCAACGAATATAACCCCGACACATGGAAAAACAAAAGCCTTTTTTCTTGTCTAGATGTCTGTTTGATAAATACTGCCTAAAATGTCATTACTGTAAGAAGTGGAAACATTCTCTGTATCAGCCATGTAACAACATCAAGGGGCTCCACACTTATAAATTACCCTTTTTCTTTACGTTACAGAGGCACAACTCCATTACCAAGGTCTCCGGTCATACCACAGTGCATTTCTCCAACTTCTCATGCCCTGGACCTTGTGCTCCTCCCCTGTTCTGAAGCCTTGTCCAGGGCGTGGGGTGGCACAAAGGGCTCCCTTCAGGGCCCCAGCCCTCCCACAGAAATAGCCAAACCCTCTGCACCTCCCAGAGGGCTTCAGCTGCAAGAGGAGAACACGGGTCCCAAACCTCTTCCGAATGAGGCAGATTTTAATGAAGTGCAAGACCAGATGATTCAATTCAGGCGTGGCTTCAGTTCCTAGCACAGCAGCTTTGCAAGACTGAGGGTGTGACAGGCTAGTTTTCTGCTCAGGGAGACTGAGCCCACAGTGCCACTTAATGCAAAAAAATTGCTGCACTTGCCTGGTGCTGAATTTCCTCCTCTGTCAAACAGCCTGAGCAAATGATGTTGAGATCTGCCCCTCATCACTAAACCATCAACCATTCCACCCCCCTTTGCTCTCCCTCAGGGCCAGGAGTCCTCTGACATGACCCACATTGTGCTCTCCCCATGGCTGAGTTGGTACTTCAGCTCAGCTGAGATTTTGACAAAGTGAGGTTGCTGTTTTTCACACTCAGCACTGAGCTCCCTCTCAGCATCACTGACTTCAAGTCAGTAACTTGAGCTTTGACTGCAGCTCCTTGTGTGGAAGGAGAGCTCCCCATGACCAGCTCCCCTCGGAAGTGTAACAGCATGAAAGCACTGACTGCTTTTGCAAAACCTTCCCATGATTTTATTAAGTACTGCCACTCCAGCAATTGTACATATTGCTTATAAATGAGACTATTAAAATGTGCTAAATTGTTTTAGAACCATCAGGTGACACTGGAGCCTTGAAAATTAAAGATACAGTGAACCTAGCTACCTTCAACACTAACGACCAGGATGATATATTGGGCTATTTTTTGGCTGTAAAACTGGGAACTACAGCAGGGTGGTTGAAAGTTTCATACTTGAGTACTGACGCCAGAATAATTTCTTCCAGGCAGTTAAACACATTTAAAAATATTCGGGGGGTGTGGGTGGCTGGGGTGGTTCCCCCTGGCAATTTCAGAAACTTAGTTTTAGCATTTTGCTTTGTTTTTATACTGAATACTGCTCCTAGAAGATAATTGTTTGCGTGCTATATATAAATCAAATCAGTCTGCAGCCTCTCCTATGACGAAAGGCTGCGAGAACTGGGCTTGTTCAGCCTGGAGAAGAGGAGGCTCCGAGGAGACCTCATTGCAGCTTTCCAGTATCTGAAGGGGGCCTACAAGGGTGCTGGGAGAGGACTTTTTACAAGGGCCTGTAGTGTCAGGACAAGGGGTAATGGGTACAAATTGAAATCAGGGAGGGTTAGATTAGATGTCAGGAAGAAATTCTTCACAGAGAGGGTGGTGAGGCACGGGAACAGGTTGCCCAGAGATGTTGTGGATGCCCCCTCCCTGGATGTCTTCAAGGCCAGACTGGATGAGGCTTGGAGCAACCTGGTCTAGTGGAAGGTGTCCCTGCCCATGGCAGGGGGGGTGGAACTGGATGATCTTTAAGGTCCCTTCCAACCCAAACCATTCTGTGATTCTATGATTCTATGATTTCTTTTTTAAACTGTTATCAAGAAGTAATGCTAGACACACGGCATCTGGAACATAACTATTTGGTCTACAGTATTTCACGGAAGAAAGTGGGTTTCATATTTTCCTCTAAAGCACTTATGCTCCTGTGATTTCATGGACTGCGCCCAGTGACTTACACTTCTCCAGACGGGTGTCGGGATCTGTAGCACGCACCTGCTGAGGACCGTCTTCAGTCGTGGGCTCTGCACGAGCAACGCGCGTGGCTCTCGGTGTTAAACTCTCCAGCGTGGCACGTCACTGGAAACAGATTCTAATCGTGCTGCAGCGTGATGTATGCGTGTCTTCCTCCCAGAACCAAGACGTGGTTTTGCCCTGCAGTTGTTGCTCTACTTTCTGACTGAAAGTTTCTGTCTTGAAATTGGAGAACAATGTAATAAAATAATTGGTGGTGGCTCTCAGAAGGAGCGTCAGAGGAAGGGAAGAAGTTACCAAGCCTTTCCTCAAGCCATTTTCCCATAGCAGCAAGTCTTCAAGTTGCAGGGAAGATTCCAATGCAAAGGATACTCTATGATCACAAAGCTTTAAAAATGAGTTTGGGGGAAAGTTACGTAGCCCTTAACAATTTCCTGTTTCATTGATAATGTGCTCCACCGGGCAGGGAAAAAGGGAAGGTTGATAAAAAGAAATGGGCCGACTTCCACTGTCTTGTTTCTGAAGCCTCAGTAGTAGGGTGATGGTTTATCCCAGCAGATACCCCTCGGGTAGCGTCTCCAGCTGATGGCTGCATTCAGCTGAGTACCGCCCTTGGAAAGCCATCATTCCTCCAGGTACTACCTGGGGGAGGGATGTCTCTTGGCACGCTTAAGTTTCCAGCTCGAATCCAGGACTGCTGAAGTAAGCCTTCTTTTCTGGGGTGACGGGACCCTACTAATTCATTATTTCCGTACAATTTTACAATATTTTCATGTTCAAAGATGGAACAGCTCTTTTGTGCTGTGATTTCATGTTTCAGGGTGTACTGTCTGGCACACTGGCTGGCTGTTTTAACTTGTTTTCTCTTTTTCCTGTCATCGTAAAGGCCAACTTGGCAAGTGCAAGACAAAGCAGATGCTAACAATGTGGCTTATACGACAGGGAAACTATGCTTCCACACGGATTACCCTGTTCTACAGCATCCACCTGGGGTAAGGTGAATCTGCTGGCTTGTTCACAACACAAATGGGGAAGGGAAAGTGTTCCTATAGTGTGAAATACCGTTAGCACCCAATAACTCTGAATTTTGCCTCAAAAGAGCACTGTAAAAATAGCAACATACTAATCTGCATAAAGCAATCTATATACACATGGGTATGCAATATATGCATTATGATGGAAGTTCTGCATAACAAGTCCATTATGTATGCCATAATTTTTAAATGGAAAGTCACAAGGTATTGAGAACATTGCCATATAGAAAGCATTATGGTCCTGTAAGTGCTTTTGATGCTGCTTTCAGCGTATCATAGAATCACGGAATGGTTTGGGTTGGAAGGGACCTTAAAGATCATCCAGTTCCAACCCCCCTGCCATGGGCAGGGACACCTTCCACTAGACCAGGTTGCTCCAAGCCTCATCCAGCCTGGCCTTGGACACTTCCAGGGATAGGGCATCCACAGCTTCTCTGGGCAACCTGTCCCAGTGCCTCCCCACCCTCTCCGGGAAGAACTTCTTCCCGATATCCAATCTAAACCTCCCCACTTTCAATTTAACCCCGTTCCCCCTTGTCCTGTCACTACAGGCCCTTGTAAAAAGTCCCCCCCAGCTTCCTTGTAGCCCCCTTCACGTACTGAAAGGTGCTCTAAGGTCTCCAAATTTCAAAGCAGCTGGGTATCTATATGCTGCAGTCAAGTTGTGACATCTTAGGACACGTCTGTTCACCCATGGAAGAGAACTTACTAGAGGTATGATTAAGGTGTTATATTGTTTTCCATAAATTGATTGAAATTACACCCTCATCTGCCCTTTCATAATTAGACAAAAAAGGGGTATTTTGTAAAGCTGGACAACCACCACAGAAAATATATTTTCACCTAGTCCGTCATATCAAAGCCTACATCACTAGGGAAATGAAAAGTAGTAGGAAACTGAAAAGCAGGGAAGTCAGAACAGGTACAATGGAACAAAGATAACCCTGGGAGAGTTCGCATCCGTAAGCTTCGTACCTACAACTTCCCTTTCTCATGCTGTGGAGTAATTGGTGTCAGTTGTTTCTGTAATTAAACAAAAAAGAATGTGATTTCTCCACAGGTATTTCACACTAACGTAACCTGTTAGAATCATTTAGATGTTGTTCATGAATGTAGAGTAAGGATGGAATAGGCCTCCGTTAATACATTTCCGTTTTCCCCTTCAGCCCCATCATTAAGGTCTGTGGGTCCAGCTGGTGAGGAGGTTTTGGGACAAACCTTGTTCTCTGCTCCTGTTTCTCCTCCTGGGTTTTTCTGGTTTTTCCTCCTAGTGGTCGCAGGAATAATTCACCACACGTGGAAGGGAAAAATGAAGGCTGTTAGCATTGGTATGGCGGGTTTGGTGTAGTCTGGCTGAGATGGAGGGTGATGCTGGGCTCTCTAAGGCCACGGGGAGCTTTACTGCCCGTGTCAGCAGCTCAGATTTACGCCGGGGCAACCACGAGCCCAGGTTGGGCTCGCTGCTCCTTCTTACGCCTTGGCAATTCCACTGTGAAGGGAAATGAAACTGTCTTAATCCTACTTTAGCACAGGGACACCGGGCCTGTTATCTTCTACGACAGCCACCTTTTCCCCTCTGTGAGCAGATCGTTCACAGCAGGGTTGGTTTCTGCACGAGAAGACTGACCCTCCTTGTAGAGACAAGACTGCAGCACATTTAAAATCCTGTGACGGCTGCAAAGAGGGACGCAGAGGGAAGAAGCAAGACCAGAGGTTTGCAGCTGACCAGGTAGAAAGCTTTAGAAGATATCCCAAATGGGATGGATTTATGAACATGCTACTTCCATTTTCTGCCTGTGTGATGGTGGTGGCAGAGCGCTGCAGCAATGGGAACTCGGGCTTTTTCTGAAAATAAAAAATAACCCCAAACTCAAACCTAAAAACAGTACCACAGATAGGAGGGGACTGATGCTAATGAACTGTTAAATATGCAAGCTGATTCTTGCTGTAATGAGATGTTAATTCATTCCAGGTTCAGTTTCTCCACTGTATAAAGCAAACAGCCACAGGAGGTGAAAGTGAAGCTGTGGATGGATTTCACGTATCCAACAAGCTGAAGAAACAGAATCCTCAGGCGTATCAGATCCTCTCCTCCACTGCTGTAGACTATACAGATGTTGGGGTGGACTACTGTGATTTTGCTGTGCAGTGTAAACAAAGGATCATAGAGTGAGTGGTTCCAGCAACATCAGAAAACAACATCCCTATTGTACGGTGGGTTGTATGGTGGTAGGAGAAGGTCTGCTCCTGCCACCTGCTGGGGAGCGCTGGTTTAACCGGGTCTCAGTTATTTTGGGTTTTTTGGTTGGGGTTTTTTGTTTTTTTGTTTTTTTTTTGCCAGTGTGTTACTTGCTTTTTGCTTCGTACCACCACAGCATAGTTTTCCTTATTTGGTTTTGCCACACACCAGCAAGAAGTGGTGGTAACGGGAGCAGCTCCTCGGTTACGGCGCAGGTTAACAGCAGCTGGGTCTGTCACTAAATTCCAGCTGATGTGCAGCTGCATCGTGCCAAAGACAGGTCAGAATTTGAAGCATTTAGATTAAGAACTATGTATTATAAAAGCATCAAATGCAAATTATCATCATCTCTTCTGAGTTTACAATTCTATATATTTTATACAATTGAAGTGTATAGAACAGAAATGTTTCAAAGGAATCAAGCGTCTGCACTTTCTCCTGATTATCCCTTTTCCTAGTCAGGCTTAATTATCAAAATCCAACCCAATAACAATCTAGTTAGGTTTAATTATCAAAATCCAACCCGGTAACAATCTGAATTTCACTATAGAAACATACTGAAATGCCAGCAGGAGAGTTCAGCCGCTGCTTAACCACCTTAAAACGTTTCAGTAACAACACAACACATTCCTTTTCCTTTCCTTTTCTGTTTCATAGTGTGGATTCCAGAGGCCAGGCAGTTCGCATCAATTATAATAATGCAACAAGAGACACAGTGTTTGACATACCAGCTGAAAAAGTGAGGCCGTTTTATGCAGCGCTAAAGGAATTTGATGATTTGTTAAACAGCGCAGAACACAAGTTTACTTACAAGCTGAAACCAGGTCAGTAAGTTCCTTCTCCTCACAATGATTTTTCACATGTTTTCCCAAACAGCCAGAACCCTTAAGCATTGTTAGCACTGGTATTGAGAGGAAATGTCAGTCCTTCCATCACCTGTTTTATTTCATACCGCATCCTTACATTCATCTTGGATTTCTTTAGCCATTGTTACACTATAAGGGAAAAAGAAAGAGGGATGGGGGAGAACAGTCTGATGCACTGATTAGTCCAGTGGATCTTTACACTGCATCACAACCCCATACCCTGTAGGAAGTAGTAACCTGTCCTACCAAGAGCACCACAGATGGGAAGTAGCACGTGTAAGACTGCAGCTTCTGTTCATTAAATGATAAACGATCCCGTTTTTCTTCCTCTGCCTCACGCGATGCAGAGTACGGACGTCAGGCCAAGTGACGTCTGTGTCCTTACGACACTTCCATTCGCTCACGGGGCACCTGCCTGGTGGCTGCAGGAGTTGCAGAGCACCCAGAAGATGATACGGGTGATAAGGCGCACGGCGCTATGAGGAATTCAGTTAGCGTTCCTTGGACGCTGAATGCCAGTGCAGTGCCGGATGAATTCCCGAAGGCCGCTGCTGCTGCGCCGCTTTCTCTGGGCGGCCTCTGCAAGGCATCCGGGGGCAGATCTACAGAACCACTGGGCACTCTAAACTTCAGCTGGAGTTGGACAGGGCTGCGTCTTGAATATGAAACATGCTGCAAAAATGCCCTTTGCTCTTCAAAAGTCAGTCCGTGCATGTATTTAAGTACTTTGGCCTTAATCGCTGTTCTTCGTTCCCCGGCTGTAAAGTAAAGCTGTGAATAGTCCCTCATCTCTCGAGAGATGTTACAAAAGTAAATTCATTAGTGTAGCTCCTTGCCTCATGTACTGCGATGCTAGTGTCTTTAAAATGCCTGTGAGGAAATTAATCTCTAGTGGGAGCATGCAGTACAACAATTTATGAGATCAGGTAATAAATGGCAAACCAAAGTACCTGACACTGCACGAGTCCCATCCATCCCATCAATTAACGCACCAAAATGGTGGTAGAGGGGAGAGGGAGAAGGAAGAAAAGGCTGTAAGATGATTTAATTAGAGATTTATCATAACAGTGGCACACAAGAGAGAAAAATTAAAATGCCAGGCTAGTCTTAATTATGTGATTTCCTAACTTTCAGTGGCTTGACTTTGCTCTCGTAACATTCTCTGAACGGGGATCGTGATGCAGGATGCGCGTAATACAAATAGTCACCAGACTGCTCAAATGAAAATCATCCGAGTAGCTGCCACCCTTTTTATCCTTCCCATGGATCCCCCTCAAGGCCTGCTTTTCTCAGCACGGACTCCCCCCTACCACACTGCTTTTTAACTCCTGGTTATAGAAAGAAAGAAGCAGAGGTTGAAAGGGACCTGCCCTCTCTGCTCGGATAAATTAGAATTACTGTGTGGTTTCTGTGGACCTCCAACAGAGCTCCTCGAAATTACTGCTCCCTGGTTGTTGATACCAGCCTACCTCCACGTTATCTGAAGGAATCAAGCGTACCATACCCAGTGCTAAACGTTGTGCGATCTCTTTGTAGGAGACATCGTGACGTTTGATAACTGGCGCGTGCTTCACGGCCGCCAGAGCTACGAGTCGGGATCCGAAGTCACTCGTCACCTGGAAGGTGCCTACGCAGACTGGGATGTGGTCATGTCACGGCTCCGGCTCCTCAGGAAGAGGGTCCTGAACAGGGAGTGAGCTTTCTTCTAACTAGAACGAGCAAAACCTGGATTGTCTAACCTCAAAAAGACCCCCGCCATTAAAAATTTGTTTTCTCTTGAGGAACTAACACCACAAATATATTTTTGAGTTCCATAAGCTAGGAAACCTGTTGTTCAGACCAATTTTATCTGCGCCCTGGTCTCTGAATCCATAAAATGCATTGCTACCTCTGCCACTTTATTTGCTTTTTAAAATCAGTGTGAAAAATGGCCAGAAAGATTATCATTTTACTGGGCTGACCGGGTAACACAACGCCTTACCTTCCCTCCACAAATCCACCTGCCTTCCCTAGAAAGCCTAGAAGCAGCATTTAAAAAGAGCTTTATTACTAAAGATTTGCTACGAACAACACTTCCTCTCTTTTCAGAGCAGCGTTCTGTATTGCCTCAGTCGTAACTACAGTTCCTTACCAAAACAAGCAGCCGCTGCTGGGGAGTTATTTCTACAAACACACCTTTCTTGGTGGAACTCCGCTTGACTACAAGACCCGGTTCAGGAGACGCTGCATTCTGCAGATCTCCCTGCCCCGTGGCACCTGTCAGGGCCGCAGACCACTTCTGCTGCGTTCCTGAGAGCAGCGCACGCTGGGAAGCCAGGCAGCGTCCAGAGAACGCGTCCTGTCGCTTTGCCTCTGCGCTAGGCACAGAAGAGGATGTCTGTGCAGCGGTGGCAGATAGGGTCAGAAACCCCCTCGGATGCTGGGCACAGATGGAAGGAGGATCCGCGGGGCAGACAGACTTCCGAACACAGTCAGGAAGAGGAATGCTGCCGCCGCCTCGCAGCCAGAAATCCCAGAGCGGAAGAGGCGGTGGTTGACTCCGCACCCGACAGAGAAGCGGCGACGGAGCGCAGATCCAGTTTTGTCAGACCAGAGGCAAGATTGCGCCTTGGGCGGATGCGGTCTGCGGGATCTTCTCCTGCAGGCTGCCTTCTGGATAGCGAGTGCGCCCTGTAAAAATCACTGCAGCCGAAGTAGTGGGGTTTTCCCTGTATTCAGATTCCAGATTGAAAGAGTTTTAAAATACTTGGGTTTATACCCAACAGCACATCCACCAAGTTTATTTTTCACTGTCCTTGTGGGTGCCGAGTTAACGAGACGCCCCCTCACCCGCACAGAGAGCCTGACAGAACCACCACACCTCCACCCCCAGATATGTTCTGGTCCAACGTTTATTTTCAAACTGTACCCTGAAAGTCACTGAAATCCTTGTCTCTTCCTAGCAGGCTAAAACACTAGAGCGGCAACTACAGAGTTAAATAACTGTGGAACCAAGTTAGCTGGCACAGAAATACCCAAGGTTAAGTTGAGGCCCTGACCATGCAAACACTTCCCTGGATTCTACTCCTCACTGACAGCCAACAGATACCTCAGCTGAAGAATCAGCTAAAAGTAAATTAGGATTTGGTCACGACCTAGCGCAGCGCTGTTTGAATCCGTTCCTCTTTAGTAAACAGTGAAACGTTTTTCTCCAAGGGGAAAGGATGAGGAAAGGTTAATAGCTAAGACACCAGCAGTACTGTGCTTTCACTGTGATGTTTTCCATCCAACAATGTAGTGAAGATTGCAATTTATGACTTTTAAACAAGACAGCTTGGGATTTATACCACCGGTTAATAGGGGAGGGATATTTTCTGCTTTTATTCTGTGCTTTTCTAAAAACTTGTAGTCACATTTCTGTTTATTAAAAGATATTCCAGAACGGATTGCTGTTTTGAGCTCATACCTAACCTCACAAATAACACCTTGCACACAGATAGGAAGTAATTATTGTTATTTACAAACATTTGTAAATACGATTAGACCTGGACCCGTTCAGGTTTGTCCCATATCTGTAACATATAATTAAAATACAACTAAACCCATAGCTTTGTACAGCTGTGGAGAAAACAACAAAACAAACCAACCCAAAGAATTAAGCAGGGCTCTCAGTGGATCTAATTTTGGGATGTTTTTGTCAGTGAAATATGCCCTATTAAAAACTCACACAAGAGATTCTTGAAGTTCAGACTTTATGCCTGAGATACGTTACACTTTATATGCCCACACCTCCTTGAACCGTCCGTATTTCCCCCAAATATGCAGTATCAGTGTTAAGTACATAACATCATTGGAAGAATTAGGACAAAAAACGAGCCCCTCTGCTCTGGGGACAGGCTGGGAGAGTTGGGCTTGTTCAGCCTGGAGAAGAGAAGGCTCCGGGGAGACCTTATAGCACCTTCCAGTGCCTGAAGGGGCTACAAGGAAGCTGGGGGGACTTTTTACAAGGGTCTGTAGTGACAGGACAAGGGGTAAGGGGTTTAAATTGAAAGTGGGGAGGTTTAGATTGGATATCAGGAAGAAATTCTTCCTGGAGAGGGTGGGGAGGCACTGGGACAGGTTGCCCAGAGAAGCTGTGGATGCCCCATCCCTGGAAGTGTCCAAGGCCAGGCTGGATGAGGCTTGGAGCAACCTGGTCTAGTGGAAGGTGTCCCTGCCCATGGCAGGGGGGTTGGAACTGGTTGGTCTTTAAGGTCCCTTCCAACCCCAAACCATCCCGTGATTTTAAGCAGATTCGCAGCCCAGGCGTATGCCCCGTACACAGACCAGATGGGTTGGTGTAGGAGTGCTGTGGCTCCAGGTTCCCGCCAGCACAGTCACCCTGCTTGCGTATCCTTCCGTATCCCATATAAACATAATTCAAGGTACTACATAGTCAACAAAGTATTTCATGCAGAAGAGAGTACAAATAATGGTAAAAACCATTCAGCAGTGGAAACGCGAAGTCCTGCGCAGACGCCAAGCTAATCCCCGCGAGACCTGCGGCACGATACCCAGTTTCACTGGGAAAGGGTCAGAGTACGCAGTCAAAGCTTACGTTCCCGGCTGCCAACCCTCTGCTCAGGTTCTAGGATCCAGCTACTGTCACCGTCACAGACTTCAGTTTTGGAGACATTTGCCTGTTGCTATAGTCGCGCTGGGAAAAGAGGTTATTTCTGTAACTATCTGCAAAGCAGATCTCCCCGTGACTGTCGTGGTACCTGGTCAGGCTGAATAAATGGGGGAAGCCCAAGATGGGTTTGTTTTCCCTTCGTCTCCAAACCCACACCGAAGAACGCCATCGAAATCAAAGTTTTCGGGTAGGTGCAGCTTCTGATCCGCCTGCAGCGCCGACGGGAGCGCCTCGCCCCGCACAGGCGCCCCAGCCCTCACAGACTGACAGGCCCAACCCTCTCGACCCTCTTAGAGCAGCAAAAAACCCCTGGTAATAGGTGTTTGCAGGACAACTCTGAAGAAGCATTGAGCTGTATCCAGAGGGTGCTAACGATTGGGCTGGCTGTAGTCCAGGGGCTGGAATGCCGTGGTACCTTCGTGCTGTTGATGACACATCAGCTGCCCAGCCCGTGGTCAGCAACTGGCCACACCTGCTTGCGTGACAGGAGCAACACACACCCGTGTCACTATTTGCAAACGCCCTTCCTCTTTTCTCCCAGCCTTCTCCCACTGCATTTCACAGCAATGGATGTTGGATCCAAGCCCATGGAGTTGTTTGCATGCACAGTTTTTTAAATATTGTATACGTATATCAGATTTCCAGCTGTTTTTTAAAGCTTGCTGGTGTCAAGCAGCATCTCGGGCGTATTGGTACGCTCCCATCTCTCCGGATCACTTCAGCACAGCTTTAGCCACTGCTAAGCTACCTGCAGCACCTCTCAACTTCCTTTGGCTGGGTGGACAGTAAACCCCAGTCCAGAGGGATTTCCAAATGCCTATTGTGGGAAGAAAGACGGATTAGCTGGGCAGCTTTGCAAGTTGTTTATATATGTCCAGCAAATTAAATGCAGCCTTTCATTACACATGCAGTATGTTACTCCTGGAAAAGACATATTTATTCTGTACTGTGGTTTTCTCCGACACAAATCAGAGAGAAGTACTGTCTGATTTGATCTTGTCTCAAATTCTCCCTAAGGCAAATAAGTTTTTATTCTGATCTACACATCGTAAAGCTAACTGCTTAAGGCAAGTCCATATTTGAAAGTTTCATGCCGGAAATCTTAAATCTCTTTTGGTAAAAGCTAAGATAATAAATACATTTTATACACACATTTTAAACTTACATCCAAAGATCCCTCCACCCTTTATGCCAGTCCAGTAACACAAAGATGGTAAAGTCTGAGATGCAGAAAGAGCAGAAAAAATCTCCCCTTAAAAAAAACCAACCCAGCCAAACAAAAAATTCACCCGACACCAAAACAAAAAGGACAGTAAATCACAACTGCTCAGCAGCAGCATATTTTTCTACACATCTGATTAAAGTCTACAAGAAGGAAACTGTAAAATCCAGTGAACAAACTACATCACCTCTAGAAAAGAGCCGTAGTATCAAACCCTAACTAAAGCACAGGCGTGGCAGCTATATGGGATGTTTCTGGCTGAAATCAATCTCGGTATCGGACGTGGGATGGGAGCTGCGAGGAGGGAGCGAGGGCATTTTGCAGTCACCCTTCCCCCATGGCGCTGGTGCTGTGGGGATGGGGGGGTGGCATTGCTCCTGCCAGGGGCACGAGGGAGGGGAAAGCCCCGTCTCCCACCACACCTGCAGGACGCTGCTGGGTCTGGAGCATCCAACAAGCTAGTGTTTTTTCCAGCTATTTAAAAGGATCTTCAGCAAAGCCACAATTCAGAGTGGCCCCAAGGCTGCTCCGCATTGTGTCAAGGGCATCTGGTCAACCGAAGGGCTAAGGAGCTGCTGGTGGTGTGTTTTGCAGGATATGAGCTGGTTTAGTTAGCAAAATATATTTAAAGCCAAATGTTTTATGTAGTTGTAATGACTTTTTTTTGAATATGTGAGAGTACCTAATAACTTCAGAGCAGGCAGAGGGTTTTCTTTGTTGCCATGCCACAATGCCTGTCTCCCCATTAGCTCAAGCAAAATGAGGCAGGAGGTCTACCCAAACATGTGGCTAGCAGAGATCTTCTCTACCGTCCCCTCTCTCCAAGCAGTCCTTCAGAGCAGTAACCACTCGCGCTTGCAATAAATCGAGCCCATG